TAATATGCATCCTTCCATCCTCGTCGGCACAATCTATAGACACCCACATGCTACAGCAGAATCTTTTGAGTATCTTGAAAATATTTTCAGAGAAATGCCATTAAAAAGAAAACCCCTATTCATCCTAGGTGACTTAAATGACGATCTAAACAAATCAAATGCAAGGCTGACTGGGATGATTAATAAAAATAAATTAAAACCTGTAAACAAGCCTACAAGGATTACAGCAACTACCTCTTCTATATTAGATGTCATAATAACAAACAGACCCGATATTATTCTTCACACAGATGTTATCCCATGCCCAACTGCAGATCACGAGCTTTTAACCTCGATCTTAAATATAGGAAAACCAAAGCGACAACCAGTCACCAAAACTCGTGATCTAACCCATTACGATCCTAAATTACCATTAAAATAGATGACAACATCAAGAGAGCCATAAATGATAGAAATAATACTCACAAAGCTCTCAAGATAAACAGATCTGACACCACCCTTCAGGCTGAATATAAACACAAGAAAGGGAATGTGAAAACACTTATTCATAGTGTGAAAACGAATTATTTCAAAAGTAAGATCAATGAGTGCAGAAACGATTCTGCCGAAACATGGAAACTGGTCAAGACACTAGTGCCAAATAAGAAACAAAACACAGACATTTCCAAAAATTCCATAAATGATATAGAACACTTTAATAACTTTGCAGAAGTCGGTAGGCTCACTTACGAACAGACAACCGCCTCCACACATCTACGCAGCATAAATGAAACAAGGCCTAAAACAAACTTTTTCAGACCGCAACCAGGAGGAGTAGAAACAATTATATTAACTGTAAAACACTTAAGAAAAACAAATTCCGTAGGAGCTGATGGCATTGCACAGCGTTTCATAAATGATAGTCTACCAGCAATTGCATACTATTCATCATCATCATACATCATCCCATAGTCACCGGTGTCTATCCATCACTTTGGAAACATGATATCATAACACCTATTTACAAATCCGGTAATATCTAAAGTACTCGAGAAAATAGTCGCGAATTAATTAACAGCATTTTTGGAAGAGAATAACCTTATATCAAACACGCAACACGGGTTTAGAAGTAAATTATCAACCGAAACAGCGCTACTAAAAATCACAAACGAAATTTATAACATAGACAACAACCAGATAAATCTGCTCACTTTGTGTGCTTATCGAAGGCCTTTGACAGCGTCAGCCACGAAATACTTCTCAAACTAACAAATCACGGAATTGATAACATTTGGTTTAAAGATTACTTGTCCGCGTGAACTCAGTCAAAATTCATGAAAAAGTATCATCAAAGAAACGTTTCGTTCGGTGTTCCTCAAGGCTCCATCCTAGGCCCAATCTTATTCACTATTTTCATCAATGATCTGTCATCAATTGCAAAAACTGTCTTCTTGTTTAGTACGCTGATGACTCTCATATTCTCCACGCTGCCTCTGTTAACAATTTAAATTTTATAGGAAACGCTAAACAAACCCTAACAGAAGCAAAACAATACTTTGAAATAAATGGTATGAAGCTAAATTCACAGAAAACACAATGTATTTTCATAGCCAGCCGTCAGAATATTGCAAAAATACCCACAGATACAATTATAGAATTCCAGGGCTGCTGCATCAAACCCAGCACAACAGTAAAAAATCTAGGAGTTTACATAGACAGATACATGACATTAGACACACATTGACCACATCTACAGGAAAGTAATGGGCACTCTGAGATACTTAAATCACATCAAAAATAAAATACCCACAGAAACAAGAATTATTGTTATACAAACACTAGCACTCAGTATATACAATTACTGCCTAAACATCTGGGGCTCCACAAATAAAACACAAATACAAAGGACACAGAAACTACAGAACTTTGCAGCAAGAGTAGCACTAGGAAATATGAATAAATATGACCACATCACACCACATATCAACACACTAAAATGGCTAAAAGTGCAACAGAAATACAACTATGACACATGCATTCTAATCCATAAAATTATACAGGGAATTTACCCAAAGTGGCTATTACCTATACGGACAACAGATAACACAACGGGTGTCCAAACAAGGCAAAACAACTACCTATATATCAAGAGATCAAATACAGAAACTGGGGCAAGAAATATGCTAATCCGAGGACTGGTGACTTGGAACCAATTACCCGAAAATGTAAGAAATATTTCCAACCAAAAGACATTTAAAACAAAAGTGAAAGAATATCTACTGATATATCAATGACATCAGGCGCATAAACATCAAGCCCAGCACGATATTTCAATCACATATGGTATTATTGTTATGTGTAATTTTGTTCCACAAGCATTGTATAATATCTATGTTCATAGCACCCTATTGCATTGTGTAAACACCTTATATGTAAAGAGAATACCCATTGTAATTAATGGAATAAAGTATTTGAATTTGAACTCTCTCTCTCTCTCTCTCTCTCTCTCTCTCTCTCTCTCTCTCTCTCTCTCCTCCCTCTCTCTCTCTCTCTCTCTTTCTCTCTCTTTCTCTTTCTCTTTCTTTCTCTCTCTCTCTATCTATCTATCTATCTATCTATCTATCTATCTATCTGTCAATCTACCTCTTTATCTGTGTATCTATCTATTTATCTTTCTATTTGTGTATATATCTACCTATCTGTAGATATGCCAA